TGTTTCTTCATGTCCGCAGGGAGAAGCAAACCCTTGGTCATGTTGAAGCCAAGTAAATGGTCCTTATCTGCGTAAACAAAGTCCACTTCCGTCACTGCTCGGCCTTTGTATTTTAGCTTGAGTGACCAGACTACAGGGGTAGTTGAATGGGCGGATCACCCGGAAAGTGGTTATTCAGTCTGCTCTCCTTGTTCAGTCGATGGTAGCTCGACCGAATCTTCGTCAACAAGGCGCTGCTCGGCTTACTCCTTTCTTGGCCTTTTTCTCGACCGACCAGCAGCTACCTCGCTGGCAAGAGTTAGCACGGGCCCCTCTTGCACGGCAGGCCTAGATGTTTGGCTTCCTGTCGTTTTAGCCGGCTGTGAGTCGCTCGGCTCCCCCATGATCATAGACTTTATGGCTTGGATTTTGGTCATTTCTTGTTCTCCTATTAATGGTTCAGGTTTGATTGGCAGAAGGCTTGGGTCTGGCTCTGGAGTGGGGGCACGAAGGAAGTCGGTCACCCTGCTCCTGTGCGGCGCCGTGTAACGATAACTCGGTTCGTAACCGGGCAATTTTTTAGGCTCTCGCTCCTCGGCCGGATGCCGCAATGCAATCCTTATGGCCTCTAGGTTTGCGTGGGAGTAATCGTCGGCCAAGAGTCTGTAGTCTACAACAGGAAAGGAAGGGTTAGATCGGCAAAAAACAAGAACAGTTACAGAATTAAAAACATGCTAAAGTGCTCACCAGCACTCCCAAAATCTTTTCTTATGTACCAGACCGGTATGGGCGCTTTGGTGTCCTCGTAATTAACAAACACCCACAGGAAATCATCATCGTTTGTCTCTTTATCCGGGTTACCTTCGATAAGTTTTGCTCAGCATTTCCTAACTTTGAGATACCAGCAAAACCCTCCTTTATTTTTGCTAAGTGTGTATTGATGGAATATCTTGGCGAGGCCAAGATTCAGATCGAGTATTCTATTCAACGCGGCCACACCATTTATTATTTTGTATGTGTTGTTGGAGACTTGGGTCGAGCACAGCCTAGTCTGCCTCAAAAATTTGCAGACTAGGGGTTGGATCAGGAAGCGTAGGCCGCCTTCCACAATGGACACCACCGTGAAGGGACATTTGTCCAGTTCACCCCAGGAAGTGTCTCATTTCTTAGCCAGCTCCAAGTGGACGTCGTCTGGAATATTGTATTATCTACGGAACTCGGCCATTGCCCCAGGCAAATTAACTATGAACCGGTATTTCCCCATCTATCCCGATTTTATTTAGTTGGGTAATTTTTATTGTAGCTCGGTCAAAATTGGGTGATTGTTTGCTCAGTCTTTGAGCCTCACTAACAGTTATGTTGAGTAGGCCTGGTCGGTCCTAGTTTGTTCTGCATTATTAAAACATAAGTCCAAGTAATAGCACGACATAACTTGCACGGCTCCTATGAGGAAGTGTTTTAGCTTGGTCTGAGATTTTGGGGCATTTGACCGGCTGTGGTGCTATATTTTGGTTCCTATCTCGGTTCGATTTTCCCACAGGGAGGGCCTCAAGGGAGGACCTCGAACCAGTTTTGGCTCGGTTAAATCCTATTTTTAGATCTAAAAGTGGGTTTTTGATCGATTCTACCTAGAGTTTTCAATATTCATCCTAAATCCAGAACCACCTACAGTAATCAAGGGAAATAAAGGGGCAAGGAAGCCCCGTCGATACTTGGGGGCTTCGATTTGGGCTAATGCTCACAGATATTAATCCCACAAGAGGGGCATAAGCAATATTTCAACAGTCACGAAACAAACGAGAATTAAGAACAAGAAGAACATCAATGGAGAATATAAAGGAAAGTGAGGAAAACTTACGGGTATGGATGCCAAGTCAGGACCCAGTCGACCATGACCTTTACTGAAGCCTTTATGAGAACAGAAATAGCTGGAAACGACTCAAAAAGCAACGATGACCGCGGCGGTGGCAAAAGCTTGAAGGTCTGAAGCTATAGGAACGCACGAAACCAGACAGGGAAGGCCACATGGCGTTGAAAAGATGGTTTGTTAGTACGACTGATTGATTGATGACAAGACTGCTGGCACAATCCTCAATGACTGTGTAAACTACCTGGACCAATGGTAAAGCAGAGAAAATCCACTCCCGGTATGCGTCAATACCGTTTGGCGGTTCAACAAACACTGTTTGGAGGTTTTGGTCTCTACACGTGTAAAGAAGGTAGATGGAAGCACAACCGCCTACTCAGAGAAGGACAACAGAGGTAGTGCACCCACAATCTCTAAGGCTACATGGCCAGCCTAGAAAAGGAAGAGAAGAGAGACGTTAGAGGTAAGCAATCAAAAGGAATTCCAAACTCGCTCGCTCTAAAGTGTTCTCTCTATTCTTCTTCTTCTTCTTCTTCTTCTTCTTCTTCTTCTTCTTCTTCTCCAAGTGTGCTGACTTGATCGTCAAAGGGTTTATCCGGCAATACACCGCCGGGCAGCTCACCATCTTTTGGTTTTTAGGTCAAGCGACGTCACGTGAAGCTTAGATTCAAGGAGTACGGATAACAAATAATATTTCACCTCCGTACAGTCATATTAATAATTTATTTGACAATTAACATTGAGCCACTGTGACATTTAAACGAAACTCAAACATGTAATTTGTATGTGACATTTTGTATTTACAGTTCCTATTTTAGAGATTAAGTTGTAAAACAACTAGTTGGTAATTAACCTCTCATTCTACAATAATATACCAATTAATCACAATAAACACAACAAAAAATCCCCAAATGGGTCTTTGAACTTTCCAAAAAAAAATTTAACCGTTATCTAAAGGAAAATGACTTGGACCCTTGGGGCACCCCCATGACCCCCTCTCTCTTTGATTGGCCAGTTTTTTTTCTTTTTTTTTCCCCCTTCTCCTCCAATTACCAGCCCCCATGTGTGTGTGGGGGTGGTGATTGGAGGGGGTCTCAATCACTTCCCGTTATCTAAATCCCTTATGCGTCAGCTAATCAAAAAAAAAAAAAAAAAAGAGTATATCAATCCAAAAATTGCAAAAAAAAAATAAAAACGATCACTTGAAATAACTAACCCAGTCAATGTGGCTTATAAAAAAAAATCCATGGTGCTTTTTGGTACACGGGTTTTTGAAAGGGAATTTTTGAGTAAATTTATTTGAAAATACAACTTATAAGAATGGTAAAACTAGAATAAAATACACTACCATGGAAAATTGAACTTTTTCTTTATTATAAGAAATAGAACTAGGATTCATTTGGCAACCAACTAAAAAAATATCATATTTTTTTTCAACTTTTTTGTTTTTATTGTTTTTTTTTCAAATTTGTGTCAACATATTTTATTTTTCCCATCCGCATAGTGTAAAAGAATCTAGAAAGTTAAAAAAATAAAAAAAAATTTTTACTAAAGATAATAAATAAGTCAAAAACTAAGCTATTTTACTTCTTTTTTTTTTACTGAAATTTTTTCCAGTTGTTTTTTTGTCTTTCTATTTTTTTTGGTTGGTCTAATTGAATAAAACTTAAAAAGGTAAATTTTTTGAAAAATTTTAAAATAAATTTATTAAAGACAAAAAATAAAAATAAAACAAACATTTAAAAAAACAATCCCAAGCACTCATTTGGTAATCCAGTAAAAATAGAACTAGTTAATTATCCATGTTACAAGTTTGATAGGATTAATATTAGCATTTAGTAATCCAGTAAAAATAGAACTAATTAATTATCCATGTTAGAAGTTTGATAGGATTAATATTAGGAGAATTCTATCCCACATGTCCCATATCATATGTTAATCGGAGATTTACGTATAAGTTTTAATATATGAATTTATTATTTAATAAGCCTTGTGAGAATTAATTATTGTGTATGATTTTATTTTTCATGTTTTTTTTTAAAATTATTTTTAGTGAATATTTTTAAATTTTAAGTAAATTTTTTTTATATTTATTTTTTTAGACGCACCTTACTTAAATATATCTAAAAATAAAATATTTATAAAAAAATATTTTAAAAAATAAATAAATACACAAAAATACAAAAATGTACTGAATTTTTATATTTTTTATTATATTTTTGGTATTTAGTGATTTTTTAAAGATTCTTTCACAAATATTATATTTTTGAAGTATATTTATGTTAGGTGTATCTAAATATTAAAAAAAAAATTAAAATATTAAAAAATTCAATAAAAATAAAAATAACATGGAAAACAAAAAAGTTTAACTTTCTAAAAAGTGAATCCTGAATTATGAAACCAAATAAACTGAATGGCATTTTTCGTCAAACACTATTAAAAAAAGCTACTAATTGTTAATTTTCAGTGACAATTGAAAAATTTTATCACAAAAAATGTCAGCAATTATAAATTTTAGCGACAATTTAAAAAAATTGTCACAAAAAAAGTTACTAATTTTTACCTTTCAGCGACAGTTTAAAAAATTTGTCACAGAAAAACGTTACTAATTGTAAGTTTTAGGGGCAATTTATAAAAATCGTGATAAAAAATCGCTAATTGTCAATTTGAGTGATTTATACAAAAATGATCAAAAAAAATTATTTTTAGCGACGCTAAATGTCAATTTTAGCGATTTATACAAAAATGATTCAAAAAAAATTATTTTTAGCGACGATTTTGACCTATCGATAATTTATATTATTTTTTTTACTTATGATCAATTTCCTTATTTAGTTATGATATTATTTTTAAATATTTGATTAAGTTTTATTTGTGTTTAGTTATAATTGTTGTTAATATTTATGATTTAAAAATATAAAATTATATTATTTTTTTATTATAATTATAAGATACATGTAGTACTAGTACTTTTTCCAAGTTAAAATTGGATAGAACTCAGTAATGATCTTCAAAATAAAACACAACTCTGAACACCTCTTTGCTTGCTTTCTATTGGCCAAAAACTGTAAGACCATCATACGTGGCTCAAAAGCAACCAATCACAAGCAAGAGAACGCTTGTCAAAACCTCATTGTTTCCTACTCCATACACTCCAATTCCTCACGCTGCTATGGTTGACACACGAGTCTCTTCTTCTTCTTCTTCTTATTTATAGGGAGTGAGAAAGAGAGATTGATACATTCTAGAGAGAGAGAGTAATGGCGAGAATCGATGGAATGGTTGTGTTGGTATTGGCAGCATTGGTTGTATCGACATGGGTACCGATGTCTCACTGTTCGAAGAAACCAGTAGGAGCTGCGAGAAAAGAGGACATACCCTACATTAAATGCCAGGTCTGTGAAAAACTCGCAAATCAGTTGTATCAACAAGTTCAGGCCAAACAAGCTCAGATCTCCCCCAAGAAGGTACTGTTATCATCTGGGTTCTCTTTCAATTACTCCCAAATTGTTTAATTTTTATGATTGGTTCAGTTTTGTCATGTCGGTTGCGCTCAATTTTGTTGTTGTGTTTGTGGGTATTGCTCATTTTAATGGATTTGATTATCAATTTCCTTTATTTTTCTCATCAACTGGGTTTTGTTCGATCTTTGTGTATTCTGTTTCAGTTTCGTCATGTTGGCTTGTGTTATAATTTACATAACTCTCTTGGATTGTGATTTCTATGTTTTCGTCAATTTGATCATCTAGGTTGTTTCCCAAGCACTGGGTTAATAATTTTCTTCACTAATTTTTTTGTTGCAATTTGGTTGTGATATGGGATTTGGTTATTTTCTATCAACTGGCCTTTTCTCCTAACCTATTTTACATGGACTCAATGGATGTCGGGTGCGGTGTGTATCTAGAGGTCGGATTTGGATTCATCAAACCTTAAATTTAAGGGTACATGGGCTTGTGAAAAAATGTCATATTTGTATAATTTTAATTTATTATGTGAGATATGATATGATGGTGTTATATGTAATATACCGTGTCAAAAAGACATTTATAGCAATAATAATAATAAATAATAATTATTATTATAATAATGTTAAATACAAATATATAAGAATTGTCCAATAAGAAGTGTATGGTGTCCAATTTGAAGAGTCCATGTAACATAGCAGTTATCTCTCACAATGTTTGTTTAAGAACTTGGTTCCTTCTGATTCTGCATTCCTGGATTTAACTGTGTTTTTTTTATTTCGTTCAATTTTATCAGATGGTTTTTGTAGCTAATTTCTTTTGGTACTTTGTAGAGAACCAACTGGTTAATAGTTGTTTCATGAGTATCTGATTATGATATCTATTTTTATGTTCACATTTGGATCAGATATCAGAGTATCAAATAATTGACATAGCAGAGAACCTTTGTAATTTGAAGAAGCAAGAAGCTGATTGGATTCTGAAAATTGATATAGTAGAACAGGGAGACAAATTGGTGGTGAGTTTCTTTTTAAATTTGATTATTTGATTATATATGAAATTCCTTTTTTTTTTTTTCTTTGTTTGGTAAGCCTTTTTAATTATTTCTGGTAATATTCTTGAATCGAACTTGGACATATCATATTCTTCATAGATGACATCATGGAATGTTAGTATGTTCGGCAAAATTGTAGTCTGGACAACTTTACCATTTTGGAGTCAGAAAACAAGGATTCTTGTGTCATGTTGTTGCCATGTAGAAAAAGCAAAGTCATATAGTACTGCTTTGCTAATGTCCAAAAAGCCTATGCAAAATATAGGTAGAACTTAACTTATTTAATGCTTAACAAAGTTTCTTACTTCAGTTTTGTCCTTGTTTAGCTTGTTGAACAAGACTCTGAAGGGCAATGCAATTCAAAATGCAAAACAATTGAGCGGGCTTGTGAAGAGGTGAGATTTTCATAATCTTTTTTAACTCTGTTGATAGGTTTGCCAAGTCGGTCTATCGTTTGAGAGCATGGGGTACTTGCCACATGGCCTTAGTATTTGATACTTACAGAACTTCAGAATTTGAATGCTTGCTTTATTTTTTCCCCTAATGATTTTGAATCTTCCAATATTCTATATGTGTACTAACATTTTTTCAATTCTGAATTGTTGTAGGTCATGGGGTACTCTGATACTGATGTTGCAGAATATCTATACCAAAAGAAGCCTCAGATTGATTCATTGACTCATTTCTTCTGCAATGACCTTAGTAAAGCATGCAGTGTGAAGCCACCACCAGTTCCTAAGGTGACTACTGCATTGTGATACTCAAGTTAATCCTTTTATGTATTGAATTTAACTTTCTTGTAGAGCATATTTTGTACATTAATGTAGAGCAATTCTCGTCACTTTGCTGTTTCTTTGTTATCGTTTCATACTGTCAATATGATTGAATGTATGGTCATTTTCCAAGAAGTATGCATATTTTATGAAACGTTCTTTAGAATCCCTCAGATTTCTAATTAGACGTATTATAGCTTGTGATTTTGATTTTGGTCTTAGAAACATCCAAAACACCTAGAGGGTGTAAAAGTTGGGAAAACATGGAGGATGCAAGAAGGTGGGTTTAAGGAAACTAATGGGACATGAAAGCTTATTAGTTTTCACATATTATCACACACTTTAACACATTTTTTATACACTTTTTACACAGACATCAAAACTATGACTACCCATTGAGCAGTCATTATTGTTTTCCTCTTTCGCTCTATTAATGGCAATAACTTGTTACTTTATGTTCATGAGATTGTCAAAATGGTTTTACACTGACTAATATAAGCCTCCCTCTTTGGGACTCTTGATATATTTACAAGGGTAAGACGTTGAGCATACATAAACAAGTTGAGTTTATGTATAACTATGATGTTAACTACATCGGCCTCTTCACAAAAAAGTGGGGTTGCCTACCACTCTCCCTTCTAGACCTTGTTGTAGGTTACACTGGGTATGATATTTTTTTTTCTTTTATTATGTTAATTATGTTAAAAGAAGCCAGTCGAAGGACTCTTTATGACTTGTGTATAGAAAAAAATTGTTGGTGCTATGACGCTAAAAAGGCATGTTAGAAACAGAGAAACAACAACCAACTGGAGCTGCTCCAGTTGATTAGAACCCATGTGCCTTGCTAGGAGGTCAAGGGTTATGTGGGTTCAAGTCGTGGCACATGCAAGGCTCTCCCTCCCCCAAACTATGGCCTTCGATTTACTCAAAAAAAAAAAGAAAAAGGGGGAGAAACAGCAAGATGTAGCCTAAGATGCAAGTGGCATCTATGCTATGGTGCAAGTAAGCAAACAGTATTTACTTCCACCAAAACAAAGACCCACTTGAACTTCTATGTTTTTGCAATTACTTTCACTTGTTCCTACTGATTTGCAATTCCCCCTAGAATTAAAGCCATAAGTGAAGTTGTGTGGTGTACTTCGATAAATGCCTAATTTTTTACTTAATGCTAACATTAGTTATGACAACATGTTTATGCTGAAGAGCATCAAACATTACCCTGAAACTTGTATTTTAATATAGTTATCTCAATAGTATACATATTCTTTTCTTTATTGTAGTACAATTCTTTTAAGGTGCTGGAATTTGTTAGACAATTTATAGATCAATATTTAAGCATGGCGACCATCTGCTCTTCAAATGATCAATTTCTGTTATGTTTCACCATGATCATGATTTCCAATCTCCTTAAACTCCATGATTCAAAGAACTCTTTTTAGGATTGTTTATTGCATTTGATAACTGTCAATTTTTTGCCGTAATGATTAATACGAAGATAATGTTTATGTTCCAAACTCTTTAACCTGATTTTTTAATTTCTATTTTCAGAATAGAACTCCAGGAGAACCCTTTGTCCCGAAATCAGCAAAAGAGGCTGAAATGGAAAAGATGTTGAAATCCATGGAGGTAAGTTGCCTTGTAAAGTTGTAACCGACAAATATTTATATCAATCATTCAATTTTATGCCATTGCCATGATAATATTTTGTTTAACCTCTATTTCAGGGTATGCCAGGAGCTCCCGGTATGAAAATGTATTCAAGGGAAGATTTGATGAACATGAAAAATTTTGGCAGTGAAGATGCAGATGAAGATGATGATGACGATGAAGAGGCAGACTTTCCCTCCAAATTGGTATTAACAAGATCTAATTTCTATGATAGAATAATTGATGATAAGCTGCTTTGTTCTGATCTTGAAAAAATTCTTGTAGAAAAAAGTTATGAGGGAGAAAGAGAGTATGAAGAGTGATTGGAAACAAACAATCACTAGAAAAATTGCAGACACCGGGGCAGTACTGAAGAAACATGCAATCAATGTCCATCACCGGATACGGGGACCGTGGAAAAGATTAAAAGAAAGTTTTTGGAAGAAGAACTCAAAGTCCAGCAAACCCGAGCTTTAGAGCTTAAAACACTTTTGTAGGAGTAGCAGCAGAGGCAATATTTTTTGTTCCTAGGATTCTTAGTTTCTGTTTGACATTTTAAAAAAGGTTTATTCACACTTTAAATAGCAAATGAGAAAGAAACTGTTGGTTTATCTTCTGAAACTTTTGATTGTTTGGTCACTTTTGGGAAATTCATCAGTCAACCTGATTCTCATTTGTGCTGTCTTCTCCTAAAAGAATTTGCATAGAATGCTATCTATGATTCTATTTTTACTTGGAAAGGTGGAATCCAGTTGGGTTGGACTTGTGGGAACTTGATGGGCTGATGGGATTCATTACCAATTTCGTTTTTATGATCCGAATAATTTATTTTATAAAATTATTATCTATGAAAAAATAAAGTCATTTTGATAACCTCATGGAGATACTCTCTTTCACTCCAAAATAAGGTTATGCAGGGGTAATATTACATGATGAAGAAATACAATATTTGTTACTAAGATAATTTGATAATAATATTTTTATTTATTATTCAAACAAACATTTTATTTTAAAAATATTTGTTAATGCATGTATTTACAACGCATTAACAAATTATACAATGTATAAAAGCACATGCAATAAGGATTATGTAACCTTTTTTGAGCATTAAGAACACAATAATGCTCATTTTAGTCCCAATGTAAACAAAATGTTCGGTTTGATTTTCAAAAACTTATTTTAATACAACCTTTTTTGAGCATTAAGAACACAATAATACTCATTTTAGTCCCAATGTAAACAAAATGTTCGATTTGATTTTCAAAAACTTATTTTAGAGTATTCTGTATAAATATTAAAATTAATTTGGTGAAATAAATAAAAAAAAAATTAAAAACACCTAACATTTTTATATAAAAAATAATTTTTTTAAATTTAAAATTTTAATTTTCATATTTATTTTTATCAAATTAGTTTTCATTTTTTCAACAAAAAATCTGAAAAAATTTTCTAACAAACAAACCAAACAAGCCCAGTACATAATTTTTTTAAAAAAAAATATACTTATATACCATCACTAAATATTCTAAAACGATGAAAACTCAACGCTTCTGCACTGTTTTGTATCTTTAACTTCTTTGTATAAAATCACTATATAAGGTCATATTGGATGGCCCAAAAGGTAAAGAGATGATAAAATCAAGTTGAACTTACATTTAATTAATTGAAAGTGTTAGACTCAAAAGTCATGTTTGATTCACAAGATTAATAGTGAAGTATTAATAATCCTATTAAATTAGCGTGGTATTCACTGTCTAATTGAATTAATATCCATTGAATTAATAATCTCACCCCTACCTCATTACTAATAATCTTACAAATTTATTAAATTAAATATCCATTGGATTAATAATCCAAAACCAAAATATTAAAACAAACATAGCATAATTAAACCCACGGATTAATAATCCCATGCTCTAATCCACTCAATCAAACATGCCAAAAGAGTACTGTAAGCATACAAAATTTGATTGTCAAAACAAAATTTCAATGTCTAACCCCCTTCAAACCACCATTCACACAGAATGGACTAACGACAACCTGAAAAACACCGCAGAATACTACTTGATTGGCTAATATTGTATTTGATTGAAAAATTTAAGGAGAAATTTAAAAAGAGAAATGAAAAAAATAAATAAAATGTAAATAAAACATACTTATATTTTATCTAATTTCATATACCTTTTCTTTTTCTCTTTCCAAATCTCTTACCAAATCCCACAACTAAACACAGCTGAAGTGAAAAACAATAAGATTAGTCTTACAATTGTGAGCTATCCGTCAAAGGGCAAATGATGAATAGAATTTTTAAAATTTTTAGCCTGAACTTCAATATCACTTTCTGCACTTCAATGAAAAAATAAAAATAAATAAATAAAACTTTTACAGTATTTTTACAATTTAACCAAACAATAAAACGAGAGAGAGAGAGAGAATGCTTTCAAAATTGCCGCTGTCTTATCCAATAGAGTTCTGATGTCACGAACGCTTCCAAGAAATTGCTATCTCACAACCAAATTAGCGCATTCTATAAGATTGAGTTCTTGAAACCACACAACGCCGACCATTCAATGAATATTTGATCATTATATCGACATCACGAGGATTCTTTTTGTTCTGTGCCACCGTCATGCTCCCAACCAAAGCCTCCCCTTCGCATATAGTCAGCACATCTTCTAGGTACAAGACTGTCTGCTTCCAATGTGTAGCCCGTGATCTTGGCCCTGCACAATTATTTTTTAAAAAAATTTAAATTTAAATTCCAATATAATTGATCAGATTCATATCAAATATTGTGCAGAAGCTATGTATAATATTATGCACAAGACCTGGAATGATGAGGCACTTGAAAAAGTCAGTCACTATTGGGAAACCCAGACTAAATAGATAAATTTAGTTTCCTACACAAAGCATGGACACCTCTCTGGAAGTCGAGTACGAGTGCCCAACAAGTGGCGGACACACTAGAGAAGTGTCCCTCTTTTTTTCTTTTCTTCAGTCGGACACATCGGGAACAGGCAATGACACATTGTGGACACACTGCTCTGTTTGGTCGAGTTTGTTCTCCAGTTATTTTTTTTTTTTTTTGAAAAATTAGAAACTAGTTTGACAAAAATAAACACCAAAGTTTTTCTTTTTCAATTTTTTGAAGCGTTCCCATCCCAAAAAATAGAAAATCATATGAAAATAATGATTTTTTTTTTTTTTCCACCAAACTAGTCTTTGAAAATTTTGTAGATTCAGAAAACTCAACCAAATAGATTAGCATGTCAGTATTGTGTCTGTGATTCTTAGCCTATTTCAACTAAAGGGTTCTCTTGACTAATTATGACTCAACCACCAGTTGAATTATTATGAATTCACCTACCAAGGCAGGCTAGCAGCTATTCAGGTTGTTGAGAGAGAGAGAGAGAGAAGCTGTAGAGCATCTGATTAGCACTGGACCTTATTCTTTATACTAGATAAAATTCGAGCATGAGAAAACATTTTGGATTTAAAATCATCTCAAGGTTTAGAAATGGACTCTCTTTCAAAACTTTTAACCATCTAGTCAGCAGGTAATAGAATCATTAAAACAAATCTTCATAGCAAACAACATAATAAGTTTAAAATAAAATTTTAAAAGAAGTTCTAGTGCAAAGAACTGAACCTGTAGAGAAGCCGGTTAATTTATGGCACTTTGTAAAAGACACATCAAAATAAGCTACAAGAGCATGAATGTAATCATCACGTTCTGCCACAAGCTTAAATGGAGCTGCAAAGGAAGCATCTCCTGGAGCCATCTTAGAGATGTCCATCATCTGTACTAAGTAAAACAATGAATGTCAATAGAAAAGTAGAGCACCGGATTCATCAGATCCAGCAGACCAACCGATGAATATTTAAAATCAGTAGCCTAGAAGGACACATTTATTACCTTCAGTAACTGACAGTTCGTAACGATCTGATTCTGGTCAACTGTGTCAACAAGGGGTTCCATCATGGATTGCTTCTTGATACAGCTCATGTCAAAGCCGTATACATTATTCCAAACTGTAATGCCATAGAATGCCAAAAGATTAGGTAAAAATTTCTGCAAGGAAGCGCAAAGAAACACTGGTTTATATAAACACTTGCTCCATTTGTTTCAGCAGAAAATAATTTCAGGACAACCTTATTCGCATTTTCTAGTGTTTGGTATTACAGAAAAGGAAAATCCAGGGAAAATGTGATGCCAGCAGCTGATGCCAGTTGAGCTTGCATTCGCCCACAAATATGAGAATGAAATACAAAGGTAAAGGATATGCATTAATTACAGGATAGAGAGTAAAACCATTAAGCTCACATTCAATCTTGTCTTCTTTGTACTCAGCATCCTCAATGGCTGTCAAATAGAGAGAAGCTTTATCTGGAAGAACTACACCATTGCTAACCTGCAAACAAGCGAGGCAGTAAAAGTTGAGAGAACATATTCAAATCAAATAAGTTAAGGCACCATAGCAAAGACATCTAACGATCAAATGTCTACTGAAAAAATAGCACCAAAACTCCAAATTGCAATGTAACCAAACACTAAATGATGGAAGTGTGCAAGTGATCAAAGCAACATGCCTATGCAAATTCATTTAATTCCTAATTAAAAGCCACCAAAAAATGTTTCTTAACAGCCATATGATTTTTCTGATTCTGTATCTTAGCGATGACTGAAAGTACATAGCATAGCATATCAAACAAGGGTATTACATATAACAACTGAAATTTTCTTAGGTTGTAGATTTGAATTCTTAGGTTGTAGATTTGAATTACAGACAAGAAACATAAAAATACAATAGAAAAGAGAGAACTTTGAGAACAAACAAAAGTACAAGAGAAAGATAAAGGAAATACCCTGCTCAATAACAGTTTGTCCAATCTCAAGCCAGTTCAATTGTTCCATAATTGTTCAATAACCAAGGTGACACTTACATTGACTCTAATTTCATTTCACATCCAAGGTCGTTTTTTAGGGATACTAGAAAACCTTAGCTAATGTTGGATTAAGGATTTGAGTGGAGATTTGTGGAGGAAAAGGAAAAAGGAAGAGAAAAGTGAAAACTTTTAGCTTATATTTCATTCACTTTTAACACAAAAAGGGATAAAAATATAATTGCTAAACTGATGTAATATCAAAAAAACTTAAATCCCATTCCAAGAAGATAAAATTCCTTTAAAAAAAAAAAAGAAAGTAAAAACACTCCAACTCAAGTCAAGGTTGATTTCTCAGAATATAACAAATTTAACCAAGATACCAACTTTAAGCAAACAGAAACTTTTACAAACATGTAAATCCCCCCAAAAAATAATTTATTAATTTAAATTATCAATTAAGCTTCACTTCCACAACCATAAATTTCCTAAATAAAGGTGCTGATTATCGAAGAAAAGACTTGTGATCCAGTCAAAGTAGAACTCACAGAATATAAAGTAATTAACTATAATATAATAGTTCCCAAACTTACAAACATGATAAAACAATCTCCACCACTAAACATACAGTAGTAGAGGGTTATTCTTTGAGGGAAAAAAACTGATACAGAAAGCAGGAGGTGTAATTACCAGCCATTTATCACGAGCATATAGGACTGTATTTAACATATTCTCAAACAGCAAAAAATATCCCATCCACTCTGAAACAATGATATCCACTTGAGCAATTGGAAGCTCAATTTCCTCAATCTTTCCCTTCAAAACCGTGATAACTGTAGCAATTATGAGATAAAACATAAAAAGGCTGAATCAGTTGAAAAGTATAATATATATATATATATTACAAAATTCATGGTTTTAAATGTCATTACCATCTGAAAAACCATTTACTTTAACAATCTCTTGTGCCATGTCAGCCATGTGGGAGCACTCAACCTGAAATTGGAAAGTTCATATGATCAAGTACATCTATGTGAAAAGCCGAACTCCAATTCTAAAATTTGTAGACCAGACTAAGAAAAAACTGTACAGCATACTATTCGCATGCATACATACATTCAAATTACGACACCAATGTTGAATGATTACATGTTGTCAACAAGGATACTGTAAACCATGATCCAGTTAAAAATAAGACAGAATTACAGAATAAAAAATTGAGTTTCAGAATGTCATGATGAAGCAAGCTAATCACTATATGAATGAAAAATGTAAAAATAACTACTGGATAATGATTCTAATCCTATCAGAAACATCAACGAATGAAGAGTGTAAAATCCAATCATTTAAATGAAATATTATGTGTGCAACAAATTTTGACACAGCTGAATGTGGGGTGGCAATAGAGGTAACTAGGAAATTGACCAGATAAACAAAATTAAAGACAACAAATTCAAACATCTATGTAGTAACAAGAAACTAATCACCTCTAGAATTTCCCAATCTTTTACAAGAAGTATAATGACTATTACCGACTATACCTAGTTATCCTTTTAGAACATCAACAAATACAAGAAGTAAAATCAAATGATTGAGGGGCAGTCACAGTACATGAGGCTCAGGTTTTGGCCAAGATCAAATGTACATAGCTTTACCCCGTGTGGGGAGAGGCTGTTTCCACTCCTTGAACCCAATGATCGAGGTTAAGCACACATAGTATAAGATTAGAAGTCATTTTCAAGTTGTATGGTCATGTAAACAACCAAGAGCTCTTTCTGTGGAAAAATATTTCATACTGATCTCTGTAGGTTCACTAAGACACTAGTTTGGGAAGCAGATGCACGAGCGGGAGTGCGAGATCGTCAATCTTAAAAATGTATGGGATTGAGAGTGCCTTCAAAAGTGTTTATATGTTAATTTATATATAGTATTAACTTGCTGGGTTTTATTCTTTTTTATTATATAGAAGAAAATTATTGCTTAAATCAAATTTCATTTCCTTAAAACATAAGACAATCATTATTAATATCAAGGAGATGTGGTAGCTTAGTGGTCCAAAGCACCTTTTTTGTCTCCAATGGGTTGGAGGTTCGACTCCCAGAGCAAGCACAACAGAACTACAAATTAAATTGGACATACATGTGCTGTCATCACAGATCATGTGTTGTTGGGTTGCATGCACAACCTCACTCATGCTCCTTTGTCTGTGCATGAAGTACACTCTTGTACAATAGAGGAACACGTGTTCATTAATAAATAAAAAGAATTCGTGAATTATCAGCTATAAATACGCAAACTGACAAAATCAGACTCTGAATTCCGCACGACTTCATTCATAATTTGCAAGTTCGCCATTTTGAGCGTGATCCACCACCCAAAGCACACAGATTAGGCAAATTCACTCAAGTGATTTGGTTTGGATAAGATCATTATTGCTCTCTGCATCAATTTGTCTTAATAAATGAAAAGGACAAACTAGATCACAAATATAAATAGAAACATCTAAAATTATATAGTTGACACCACTAACCATCCTAGTAATTTTTTAATTATATTAATAACAATGACAAATTTATGATCTAGGAGATGATTAAAATGATTGGCAAAAAATTTTGTAGCTAAGCCACAGCTGAACACTTGTTTATGCATGGGCAATTTATAGACCAATGACCTTAAGAAACTTGAAAAGATCTGGTTACACAATTTCTATAAAAACATAAAATGTAAATAGAAATTGAAAAATGAGAGTGAAGGAGGAATCAAAGGCATACCGCATAAACATGTTTTGCCCCCGCTTTTGCACAAAAGAGTGACAAAATTCCAGTCCCAGCACCCACATCAAGGACTATTTTGTCCTTGAATAAGAAAGGATTCTTATAAATAACATTTTGGTAAGTCCTAGTTCTCACTGCATCCTTCAACATTTCCTGCAAATAAAAGAGGCTAGGCAAACTTAACCTAGATACAGAGTCCAGGGAAAAGAGAATTTTAATTTTTTATTGGCAACAACGAAAAAAGTTTTATCAAAATGAAAAAGGAAAAGCAGTAAAAGGGGGACAAGAGGTCCACCAAGAACAAAAAGGAAAAATAATCTGGCATCCTACACATGGCTCTCTAATCCTTAAAAAAAATACATAAAAAATAATAATAAAGAAGAACCCCTCTAAAAGGAGGAGCAGTTGACACCAAACAAGAGGCCAAAAAACAAATCATTTCCCAAATGCTTTCAATTCAAGATCTTCTTATTTCCCCTAAAAACATCATGTGTTCCTTTCAAGCCATAAGATAAGACCCAAAGAACAGCACTATCCACACATCTCCAAAGATAATTACACTAACAAAGTGATCAACGGAGACAAAAGCTGTAGGAAACAATAAAAAAAAGCCTGTTTTGTTGATGTAATTCACATAGCGCCGAGAGTGGGGGCATAGTAGTACTAATAGAAGGAAGTGTGGTGCAAAGGACAGGTGGCCTGAGCTTTACAGAACTGAAGCTATGCCAATCTTCGCCACGAATAAATGTAATTATGTCAGTATGAGCTACACAAAGAGTACCAAACTATAGATGGAATCCCCAGTTGAGACATAATTCAAACCAATATAACCACCACTTCTAAGGAATCTTCATCAGTACATACAGAACTTGAGAGGGGTCTCACAGGCTCTCAGCCATCGCGATTGGTCTCGCGGGGAGCAGAAAATCCTTACAAAATAGGACACAGAAATATCTGACAAATGTAAACCACAAGCATAATAAGTGGAAATATATACAACTACCATAAAAATGATATCACAGTACACGAAATCCCGAAAATAAATTAAATGAACTTAAATATTCACATGAGTTGTTACAACAACCAAACAATGGATGGCTTTACATCCAATCCAAATGCAGCAAACTTACTTCATGAATACCTGCAACACAAAAGCACACCAAAAGAAAATTATATTCAGTCCCTCCAAGCAGCAAGAGCAAAAACATAATGAATAAGAAACAACATTTTTGTTCCCTTAATAATGATTATTTACTTTTCAGTACACTATCCAAACTTCTCAAGAATATTAATATTCTCCACAAGTTTCGTCCACAGGAGTGAAGTTTGGAATAGAATAGTCATTCTGTCGGAAACCCCATTTCCCATGTTTGGTTCCGTAAAAAGGAAAGAAAAGTGCATATAGAATCACAATTCACCAATTTAGGAGATTGGCCATTCCATTGGGAGGTCAAGGAATAGCCATTCCATTCTTAACCAAAATCATTCTAGTGAATCATACACTGCCTCAATAAAAAAAGTTTACCCAAATATTACATTAAGTTATAGTTTTGAGAACTCTATGTCTATGTATAACATAGAAAGAAATTAAAAACCAAACATTATAAATTCAGAACTTAGCATATTCTACCGAAGAAATATGGAAGGTTTGGAACATTAATGTTCCATTAATTGCCAAGAAAATGGAAGAAAAAGCTCAAATGCTATAATAGCTCATTATACTATAATTCCACATCCAGAAAAAACAAAGACTCCCACCCCAACATTCCCCCAAACAACAAAAAAACATCAAATTCAAATTTTCATCATCTTCTCAACCCCTTAGGTCTCTCAGCAACCAAACAGAGACCACACCCAACTATAAATAGACCCAGAAGTGCTAAGGCTCCATTTGGTTTCACCTAAAAAGGCAAAGTATTGGCTACATACCCCAAAATCATTTCAGTTTGGATTCAGCTTAATTATCTGACAAAATCATCTTTTAATTTGTAGTTATTTTATTTTATTTTCACTTTTTGAGTACTAGTCTAGCAGTTTTTTTTTTTTTTTTAAATCAAATTACCTGAAATTTTTCCAAGAATTACAAAAAAGAAATCTTTTAGCATTTGCTAATTGTATATCAGTTTTTTAAACGACTCCTATCCTAGAAAAGCGAAAAAAGCTACTAAAAAGCATTTGCCAAACCAGCGCTTATAAATCTAAAGGATCAAAACTATAAATACACAAACACAGAGATATATAAACATAAAAAGGAGAGTAATTTGAGAACAAAAAGGCAGAGAATGAGAGAGAGTGAGAGAGAGAGAGAGAGAGAGATTGTATTATACCGAAGTGAGAGTAGGAATCGAAGTAATAGTCGGCGCTGGTCTTGTCGGTGCCGATGATGGAGTCTTGGGTGGTGTCGCACATGAGTGCGTCGTCCTCGAGGTTGGAGCTTTCAGTGACAGTCTCCTCCAGAGTCTCGTCTTGGTCTTCGTTTTCGAACTCGAACTTGATCTTCCTCGGTCTCTGGATATCGAAGTTGGTGTTTGCGATCATTTCATCGTCGTTGTTGTCCCGGAGATCCATTGTTGGCTTCTCTGTGAAGGTTTAGGCTTCTCGGGACAGTAGAGGCAGCGGGGGACTAGGGTTTTTGTGAGCTCTCTCTCTCCTCTTGGCGTCTCTTCTTCCCTACTGCTTTTTTTTTTGAGCTTGGGTAATTTTGCCGAGGCCGCACCAGTTACGCGGTATTTTGTAAAAAACGACGTCGTAGTCATGTTTGCTGGAAACTCTTCATACGGCATCGTTTTATGGTGTGTTTTGAAACTTTTTAATTTGTTAATGAAAAATATTTCAGGCAGTAATTTAACAAACATCGGAAAATTTACCAATAAATCCCATTTCACAAACTATTAAACCAATTAGTTCCAACTTTATTCTTTTGTTCGGATAAGTCCTATCAGTGGGGAAGTTTGTTTCTTGTTGATCCTATTTTTCATATTTAGTGTAACTGTGTGGACGATTTTACCCATTATTGTTATGTTTCCATTTTCTGTTAGGGGCCATCAGTGTGATCCCTCATTTCACCATCACTTCACCATCTCCCACATTATAACTCTTCCCCTCCTCCTGTCTGCAAACCCACCCGTGCTTTCTCTCTCTAAAATTTCGTTCCCTCCAAACCCTTCCACACAACAAAAAAGAGTAAACACTTAGAAAATTGAATTATAGAGAGAGAAAATCGAGTTTCGATTAGGGCACCGTCATTATAATCATCTTCATCAATTCTGAAACCTAGCAATGGGGAAAGACGACGATGAGATGAGAGGAAGGATAGAGGAGAGACTGGTAAACGAAGAGTACAAGATTTGGAAGAAGAACACACCGTTCTTGTACGATTTAGTCATCACTCATGCTCTTGAATGGCCTTCTCTCACTGTTGAGTGGCTTCCCGATCGGGAAGAGCCACCGGGGAAGGACTACTCGGTCCAGAAGATGATTTTGGGGACTCACACATCCGAGAACGAGCCTAATTACCTCATGCTCACTCAGGTTCAGCTTCCACTCGAAGATGCAGAGAACGATGCCAGACATTACGATGACAATCAATCTAATTTTGGTGGATTTGGCTGCGCCAATGGCAAGGTACAGTGTGTAATTAATTGTTTCTGTAGCAATTGTTTTTTGAGTTTTAGATTGATGATTTACTTTATGAACTGATGTGAGGAGTGATTGGATTGAGAAATCGAGAAGAGTCTGATGCATGTGTGTTGATGTCCCAGTCTGTGTCGTGTGTACTGTGTGCGTTGTGTGTGCTGTGTGTGTGTATTAGTGTGTGTGTGTGTGTGTTGAAGCCATTATTGTGTGTGTGTATGCGTGTATCAGTGTGGGTGTGTGCGTGTATCAGTGTGTGCGTGTTGATGTCCCAGTCTGTGCCATGTGTACTGTGTGCATTGTGTGTGATGTGTGTGTGTATCAGTGTGTGTGTGTGGGTGTGTGTTGAAGCCATCAGTGTGTGTGCGTGTGCGCGTATCAGTGTGTGTGTGTTATGCGCTGGGTGTGTCTTAGAGAGAGAAGAGAGAGCTGGGTTTGGTGTGTGCTGTGTGTGTGTGTGTTGTGTGTATGGTGTGTATGAGTGTGGCTGCTGGGTGTGTGTGTTAATGATGTTTTGTGTGCATGGTGTCTTGTGTCTGGTGTCTGTTAGAGAGAGAAGATACGTGTGTGTGGCTGGGTCTCCATGTGAGAGAGAGAGAATGTTGAGAGAGATGAGTGGTGTCTAGATGATGGTAATTACGTCTCTTAGAATTTTCCAGGACTAAATGGTTTACTAGAATAAAAATGGGACCAATTGGTTCATAAGTTTACATTTTGGGATTTATTGGTAAATCTCCCTTTAACATCCTTACAAATTATTTCTAATAATATATTTGACAAATATCAAATTTTAATTTGTCAAATATTAATATTAAATTAATAGAAGGGTTAATCATTTGCGATTATTTTTTTATTTTTTGTCAACATTTTTAATGTTTGGGTTGACCTAAATAAGTGTACTTTTGTCTTTTTATGAAAAGATGTAAAAAAAAATAGAGATGTGATGTAATAAAAAAAAGATAAAAAGATAAATTAATTTATGTATGCCAAACTTAACCTTAGTATATTACTTAAAATACAACTGTTGTTCCATTAGTTCGAATATCAAATTTTTTTCTCGCTGCATTCTAAGGTGCTAATGCCAACTTATTACAAAACGTTCGCCATATTTACACGGCTGTGTTTGGTGCATAATATTAGAAATTAAAAATAATAATTAAGATTAGTTTATTCAATTATTTTTTATGAGCTATGATTAAAAATTACACTAATATTTAGACAATAATAATGCACCCTAAGTTATATAGAGATGTTTTGAAAAGTTGGTAAAAAGTTAATTTTTTGATTTTTTGACTTTTTTGATATTTTTTTGACAAAAAACTGGGTTATTTGGATAAGAAAAAGTTGATTTTTTTGATTAAAAAAGTTAAAAAGTCAAAAAATTGACTTTTTACTGTTGTTGCCAAAATGTTCCATAATAAAATTATCGGTAATGTTATAAGTACCAATTAACAAATCAATTAATATATCAACATATATTATAATAATATTATTTTAAAATTAAAAATTCACTCATTATATAAATTATAAATATTTAAAATTTTTAAAATTATATTATACCATATATTAATATAGCATATACCATATGTTAATATACCATATAATATTATTTTAAAGTTATCTGGCCTACTTGGTGCTTCTTTTAAGTTTGGGTAATTTTTCCGTGGATGCACCAGTTACGCGGTATTTTGTCGAAAACGACGTCGTAGTCATGTTTGATGAAAACTTCCCCTATGGCATGCTTTATTATGGGTGTGTTTTCAAACTTTCTACTTTATTAATATTAGAGTAATGTTACCTATTTTAAAAATTTTATCAAATATTTGATATGGGTGTGAGGTTTAATTGATTGTATTTAATGGAACTTAAAACTTGGTTTTAGTTTGGTTGGATGTGAGATTCACAAAGTATGAGTCTCATATCTATGTAAGACATTTGATAAAACCTTTGAGATCTCTAATATTATTATTAATATTATGAATTTGATAGATAACACTTTGTGAAAGTTAAAAATTCAAAATTGAAAATAGAAAATTATGTATTGAAAATTAAATGTTGAATTGTTTAAGTTAAAAAATTATTTCATAAAAAATTAAATATTAAATTAAAAATAAATTATTTAATATATATAATATTAAATTTAAAATTTATTATTTTAAAATTGTATATTTTAATTTTTATATTGTGATGGTGGTGGTGATGGTGTGATGATGGTAGTGGTGGGGTGGTGGCGATAGCGACGGCGACATGGTGGTGGTGGAAGTGGTGGTAATGGTGGTAGTAGCGATAATGATGATAATAGTTGTAAAATGATGGTAGTACTTATGGCAACAATGACAATAGTAATGAAAGTAGTGATGGTCATGGTGGAAAATTCTATTTCCACACACTTAATTACCTCAATGCACATATTTTCTTAATACACACACATATTAATTTGATTATTAATTAATTTTCTCAATCCACACACTAAAAGTTACAATTAGACCCTTCACTCATAACCATTGTACACACATCACTTAACCTTCATTTTCACATACTTGTTGAGTGACCCTGCTTCCACATTTGTAAACCCATCCACGTGAAGACCATTGAAGACGAAAGTCTGAAGTGAAGTGCAGTGAAGAAAAAGTCCTCCACTGAAGACCTTATTGAACCTCCATTGAAAACCCTCCAAAATATTGTTAAAGGTAAGGCATCTTTCCATTTTGTTATTGCATTTACCATTTCTAGATTTCTGTGTACTTCATTGCATAAAACCCTTGATTTTTTTCTATATTTTTCTATTTGGGGATTTCGGCACTAGTTTTTCAAAATTATACATTTAATTCATAACTTAACTTTCGAATACAAGTGATTAGTTCGACTAATTAGTTCCGAAAAGGAAAAAAAACAAACAAACAAATTGATGGTTAGTTTCCGAATTTAGTAAATTGTTTCGGTTCTGTAGTTTCAAATATTTGAAATATTTTCAACATTTGGGTTCTGAATATTATGTTTTATTTCTGCACTGAAGTTCCAAATGGTTTTTTTTTTTTTTAATATATATTTTATTTAGAGCAAGTTACATAGGCCACCAAGATTGGTTGGACCTTAAGTTATTTTCCAACAATATTATTTTATGAGCATGTTTATTTATTTATTTATTTTTGTGAACTTCAATATATAACAATAAAAAAAGAAAATATGTGTAGTATTGGTATTGCCACATTATACTGTTAGCACAACTAATTGTTATTGCTATATTGGTTGATGACTACAATTTGACTATTTGATTGTATATTTGTTAGTGTTTTCATCATAAATGCTATATTGGGTTGATGAGAATAATTTTCCTTATACAGATGGATGTCGGTCTCAGTCAATATCAGTCAATAACAGCTTTGAACAGAAGACTCCGTGAATTAGAGAATGTTGAACATGGACATGCTTGAGTGCATGGTGATGATGCAAACATTGCCATGGATGATGGTCACATACATGATGCACCAATTATGGATGATATTGCTATGGATGATGACCCTACTGGTGATGATGTTGACATTTTTTATGAAGATATCCCTACTCAGCCATTTTCGGGAGGGCTAACTGATCTATCAATTCTTAAAAGTTTTAAAAGTTATGTTGCCATAGTTATTTGGAATGGTGCTGATGAAAGGGGGCCCTTAAAGTTCATAATCACTCGTCTAAGATTCGTTCGTGGCCATGGTAGGAACAAGGCAACAACGCTACATTTGTAAACATTGTCGAGTTGTTAGGACTTGCACACTTAGCTTGTTACATGTACCGCTTTGTTAACAAAATTATTGTGTCCAGTTTTGTTGAGAGATGACAACTGGAGACAAACACATTCCATTTCAATGTTGGAGAGATGACTATTACATTTGATGATGTCGTCACTATCCTAGGGCTTCCCATTGTAGGCAAATCTATTAGCATGCGTAAGTTGTCAGAAAGGCAAGTCATTGCATTAGTAGTTAATACATTGGGAATTGATAAGCAAGAAGTCAGACATGAGATGTTTAGTGCTGGAGGCAATTCAATGAGGCTTAAGTGGTAGAGGGCAC